GGTAAAGGGTGTACAGCGGGGGAAGGGGGGGGGGGCGCTGTATACAGATATACAATGAGGACGTCACCAGCGCACCAAGTATTGGATCAGAACCGCAATGGGACAATGGGACAATCGCTTCCCTGGGCCGCCGCGCTTCTTTGAGCCTGATGCAGGGGACTCTGCGCGGCATGGGAAGCGATTGTCCCATTGACATTGTTCAGTAATATGGACGCTTTGCGGTTCTGGTCCAATACTGGGTGCGCTGGTGACGTCCTCATTGAGGACTATTGTGGTCGGTGACATCCGCTAGGAATTCCCGGAAAGGGGTGTGGCAAGTCACCTGTATATTACACAGTATTATATATAAAGGAGCCTTAAAGAGGAAATGTATTTTTGGTCAACATGCCCTTTGTGTGTGTCACCCCCCTCCCCCCATCATTGCGGCCAGAGGGCGTGGCTACGGTGCCATTCACTTCAATGGCCCCTCCTGCCCCACTAAAAAGTGAGCCGGCCGCAATGTGAGGCAGTGCGTTCTGGCCAGAACAATGCCGGGACACGCTGCAGCTGGCAAACTCCGGCCCTCCAGCTGTGGCAGAACTACAAACCCCATCCTGCATCTATCTCTGGGAGTCATGTCTATAACTGTCAAGAGTCTTGCAATGCCTCATGGGATTTGTAGTTCCAAAGCTGTAGGGCCAGTTTGCCCTCCAGTGAGCCCGTTGTACCCTTTAACCAGCCATTTCCCTCATCTTTGTCACAGAAACCAGGATAGTGGGCCGCGGCGCAGTACTCACCGAGCAGTAACAATAGCAGGATCACTATGAGGACCACAAAGAACGTGTTCCCGTAGGCCACGATGAGCTGCACCAGACGAGACTTGAAGATCTTCTGCCACCTGCAGAGAGAAGAATAGGACATGAGACCGCCGAGCAGACCCCGGTGCTGCAAGAAGGAGGAGGAGCAGTGAAGTCCCATCACTACAAGAAAACTCATAAACCCATTCTCTCATTGAAAACCCAACTGAACTTTAACCCCTTAGTGACCCAGGCCTTGGGGGTTGTTTTGTTTACATATTATAATCCACATCTTAGGCCTGAAAATTACTTCAAATCCCCCCAAACATTTTCTGAAAGCCGCGACCCTGGAGAATAAAATGGCGGCAGACGCAAATTTTTATATTGATGTTATACGAAATTAGCGCAACTCCTTATCACACCGACGCGGAGGGGACACCGACGCGGAGGGCACACACCGACGCGAAG